CCCAAGGATGCTTCTGACTAAATATGGACCAAATCCTTTCATTCCTACAGAAGAAGAAGGATTTTAAAGAATTTGCTATAATTCCCCTATTAGGCCCCGCCCCTCACCCCCCAGGGGGCCAGACCCACAGTTTATACAAAATTTGTTCCCCTTCTCCCAAGGAAGCTTCAGACCAAATATGGGCCAAATCCTTTCATTCCTACAGAAGAAGAAGGAATTTAAATAATTTGCTATATTTCCCCTATTGGGCTCCGCCCCTCAGCCCCCAGGGGGGCCAGACCCATCATTTATACAAAATTGAGTCCCCTTGGCCTAAGGATGCTCCAGACCAAATTTAGTCCAAATCTACTGGGCCGTTCAGGACAAGTAGCGTTTTAAAGGAAAAGTTGACGGACGGACGGACGGACGCTGCGCCATGGCAGGAGAGCTAAAAATTGAAAGGGTATCAATGTGATGTCACTGTTGTATCTTGGTTCAAATCTTATTTAAGTGATAGGTATCAAAAAGTCTCTATTTCATGATATCTATCTGAGGCCAAGAGGATAACCCATGGGGTACCTCGAGCTCCAGGGCTCAATCCTTGGTCCTTTGATGTTTTTAGTATTTATCAACGATTTACCGTTGATAACTACTTGCAGGACGGACATGTATGCAGACAACTCTTTACTGTTTGCTTCTGGTAAAACGGTTGATTTTGTCAGAGTGAACTTAGATCATGATTTAGAGAAAGTGGAAGACTGGTGTTCTGAAAATAAAATAATTGTTAACATAGATAAGACAAAATTTTTGGTTTAACAACTAAACAGAGGCGCTGTAAATTAAGTGAAAATGAACTTAAGTTGATTTTTAAGGACTTTCCACCCTTCGTAATACACATGTTTTTCTTGTCGTATTTTCGTGTCGTCATTTCCGTATTGTGTAGCGGGCATTCCATTACCCTAGTGTAAATTATAGTAACACCGGGTAAACAATAGTACACGTGCGTGACGATGATATGTCAACACCCGATATCGAGACTAACATGGAAATGTGTAATCACACGTACTTCAGAAATAAAGCTTTTAATTATAATACAAAGACATTAATTAACTCACGGGAAAACACTGACATACGATCAGACGACTTCAAGAAGGTCATATATGAGGCCAATGGAATGCAGACTGATGTGTTTTGTTTACCGACCTCACCGGTACATATCACGTGCTAACAGTAGTTCACAAGCTCTTGGTCGCTACGACTTTTGTTGTCGAGAGAGTTACGCTCTGTCAGATAAATCGGTTCACAAATGCAATTACAATAACTCTGTGAAAATAGTGGTTTGTAAAATATCAAGATCCCTATAAAATGCAAGTGCATGTGCGTGCACGTAATAACGGCATACCATGCGATAGCCTATG